ACGCGCAGGCGACGGCGCCCTGCTACGCACTCTGCAAGTGCTGGCGCGTGTTTCACCTGATCGGGGAGGAGACGGTGGCGAACTACCTCATGACCTATCTGCAGCTCTACATGGCGGCGCGCGGGCGGTACTTGGACGGTCGCAAATGCCCCGACGCTTTCGTCGTCGTACACGAGCTCAAGGAGGCGCTCGAGCAAATCCGAGCTTGGGACGCGTACGCTGAGGGACACGGAGTACGCGATCACGCATCTCACCACAACATCGGTACCCAAACCACTGAAAATTTGGCGGCGATGACCGATGCGGTGACTTCGTGGGAAAACTACGTCAACATCTGCGTTGCCTCGGGCATCGACATGAACGATATTCGGTTGGATATGATCCTCTCGGCCACGAACGAGTATTTGCACTCCCAACTGAAATCGATTTCGAAATACATCGATCTTGCGACGGTCATGGCCGGAGCGGCGGAGATCAGACGCTCTACGCTGGCTCGGGCCCAGGCTACACGCTGCGGCGGCTACTACCCGCACCACGGCCGCACGGGCGACGGCACGTACTCCCAGCGCGTCGACATGCTCGACCTGATCATGGAGCGGGAGAAGGCGCACGCCAGCCGGTCCGCGGACACCGTGTCCAAGCCTCTGCTTTTCGTGCGCCGCCGCCGACAACGCGGTGCGACGGGGGCGACTACTGGTCCCACGTCAATGCTCAAGGATATGGTGCGCCGCCGGAACGCACAGAGCGACATCGACCGCATGGGACCGGGATGGCGGGACAGACTAGTCCGACTGCGTGCTTCTGGAACTGCGTCACGACCCCTCGGCAATTTACACGGGCTGTCGCAGCCCAAGACGGATCGCCATATGACAAGCAGCGTGTGCAAATGTCCTCAACTACTGATGGATGGGCCAGTGACCACGCGCACAGCCACTTCCAATCTCGCCGGTGCGGTGCTTCTGACGCTCGACAAGGGCGGCGTGTTTGTTCGCGACCCCGGGTCGAGCGGCACGTTCTGCCGAGTGTCCTTCATCCCGAGAGCACGCCGGCTGGACCTCACCTGCGTCGTCGCGCCGCGCCAGACGACGCGGCAGACGACCACTAATGCCCCGGAGACGGACACGTACAGCTTCAAGTTCGAGCACATGATCGGCATGACGTTTCACGCCCCGGACAAGGTCATGGCGAGCTCGTTCAGCAAGGGCGTCGTCGAGATCTCGATCGTCATGCTCGTGCCCTACGGCCCCAACCCGGCGCCGGCGCCGTCGGAGCTCGTGATCCTGCGCCTCAAGCTGCTGAGGACCGGGAGACGCGACTACGACTACCTGCGGTCGCTCGCAGTGTGGAAATCTTCAACCCGACTTCAATGTGAGCGTATTCGAGTGTTCCGACGCAGCGCTTCCGCTGTGCTTCGAGAACTCGACGAGAGCAATCGATCCGTCCAAAAATCAGCCGAATCGACTTC